ACACACACACACACACACACAAATAAAAATTGAGAGGCTATAACTATAATACACTCTATGCAAGCAATTTAGCCTTGTATAATGTCAACTACCACAATCGTAATTTATAACAAACTCGATTAGATCTGTGTATTTACGCAAAATAATCATCTGCTGACTGTGGAGGTCACAATAAAGACACAACGACGAGAAATGAGTTTGTTTACTCTGTTCCATGACACCAGAGCAATGAAAACGTTACAAAACACTTGAAATCAGCCCAGAAAGAATTAACAAAAGGTTTATTTTAAACGTAAATGGTGAGTTTAAAACCCTCTTGCAACTATGGCAGCAGAGAAGGCTCCTATTTGCGTCCCTGTGGAAGAAGGGATTCTGAGATAAATGAGATTCAAACCCTTGCTTAATGTGGAGAATAACTTCCTTGTAGAAAACTTAGGACAAACATGTCTTCTTATGTCTTTAGCTGATATATATATGAGCAGCAAAAACAGATCATTTGCTTCTTGCATGTGAATTCAAACAGGGAGCGAACAGGTGGCAGGCAGCCTGGGTAGTATCACATTAAACTGGAATCCTGCTTTTCTGAAGATTCACGTCTCCTCAAACCTACGCAGAGAAGGAAATAACCACCGATCGAAGTTGTTCGCAGAGGTGCTGAATCACACGTCTTTTAATTCTCACTAACACTGTGTGGACCTCCACATCAAGCAAGTAGGTTGGTTGAGTCAACTCCTTCTGCCTATCAGGAGGCAGGTTCAAAAAAGGGACCAAAAGTGAGGTGATACAGCTGTAGAGTAAAGGTGTACACACAAGCCATCGTCTCACAGTGGTGCTCCGTGCATGTTCTCCCTCATGCAGAACAAACGCTGGGTTATAAATTACAAATAAGGTTGAATGCAATATGAAGGTCAGATCCGTGCCTGTGCACGTTTGGGTTGGGATTGCTCTTCCTTTATTTGAGTTAGGCCGATAGTCTCAGTGCTCCAGCGTACAGTGAGAACAGTAACAGTGGTAACAGTTTGGAGAAGACTCCTTTTCTGTTTCAACATGGAGATTCCAGCCTCTACCCAAATATCGCATAATAATTGCAACACTAACCTTTTATTGGATCAAAGGTTTTGACAAAAGCAAAGTTACGCAGATGAAGACATCAAAAAGTCTCATGTCATCTCAGTCAAGTGGATTTGTTAGTTTACGCAATCAAAAAATGGAATTAACAATATAAATACACGGGAAGGTGGGAAGCTGTAATAAGGTGCAATGTCAACAGCACTTCAATAAGCTGCACAACGCTTATGTAAGAATCCGCCGCTGTGATGGACTTGATGTATTCACACGATTCAAGAATGTTCTATGTAACTTTAAAAGATGCATTAACATGAACTCTGACCTCTTTTTGGCAAGAGAGCGATAAAAATGGATTTCAGTTGTCGGTATCTCAGAGATAAGCAATTTAAATACATGTGTAAATGTAAATCCAAATGTATCAGGGTAAGAGTCTGGGTAGAAGGTTGTAGGGTCAAAGATACAGATGCTACAATCATAGCGCACGTGTGTGTGTGTGTGTGTGTGAGAGAGAAGATGCAGACACAAAAGGCACATAGATAAAGTGAGAGAAAGAGGCCGTCTCTTTACAAGCCAGAACCGTTTAAACATCATCGACTTTGGGGAGGAAATCAATCAGAGTTGGAGTGTGGCTTTATGCCCTCAGCAGTTAAATTTAACAGCCTTTGTCTTGCTACGCCGCCGCTCCACCAAAGCCTTCATTCTCAATGGGTGGATTTCTTTTTTTTTTTGTTGCCCCGCTTATCAGCCCTCATTCCCCACCCACAAAAGCGACAAGCTCTCAGAGGAGCCGTCCACGCCGTTGTTATCGGAACCACCCGCATCCCCGACGCGGACCAAATTATAGCTAATATGTGCCTCTTGCTCCAAGTGTGTGTGTTTGTGGAGGAGCTTGGGAAGATGCACAGATACTCAAAACAATCTCATTTTACTGAGAGAGAATATTTTATTGCAGCATTCACAGACAAAATGTGAGTGAACTGGCCTTGATACATGAAGCTGCAGGTTAACGTGTTCTTTTTAACATGTCTTCTCCTTATTAATACTTAAACAGTTCACTTCCATGGTGTTTATTCAGTCTCAAAATACGAAGAAAACTGGAAGAATACAAATATCTGTGCATGAAGAATTGGTGTCGTACATGTAGTAGACGCCGACAACAAGATCCTCACCTAAATTTTCCGGAAACGTTCCTTTTGTTGTGAACGCATCTGACATGGATGATCTCATGTCGTGTTCATTGCATGCGAAAGGAAAACTCAGATTTTCCTGAGTTTATGTCTGAAAGCAGCTTTTTTCATCTTCAAAAAGATATGTATCATAATTTTAAGATATTATTAAAGAAGCACTAATCAATACTTTTATATCACACAAGTGATGATTTGTAATGTGAAAGGGTTAACTCATAAAGAGTTATTAAAGCCTATTTTAGCTCATTGTTTTTAGTTTTCTCACAGGTTTTGTATGTATAAATACACACACATCTGGATTACAAATGTGACTGGAGAACAAACGTGACTGGAGTTTAAATTAAAGGTACCTTAATGGCCTGGAGGTTCAAAGAGGTTTGCATGTTTCCAAGATGCCACCTCATGACAGACACGCAGACACGTGACAACAAAGTGATGACTCTGTAACACAATGTGTGCAGCAAATACAACTATATAATCTCTCTCAGGGGAAATTTGAGGCTGTCGGCTGATATAGGGGCTGTCAGCGTGACAATGTAAATAAGCAAAGTGTCCTGCAGGTTATGAGTGAACATTCCTCTTACAGCAGCCTGAGCTGAGGCTGTGCAAACGTTTTCAAATCCAATTTAAGAGCGAACTGATAAAACAAAACAAGATGTAGGTGTGAAATACAACATCTGATTTGAAGCAGCTTGCCTCGGGTCATACAGACGGGTTCAGCCACCGTATGTCAAGTAAAATGTAGAATTTCTACGTTTAAAACAACGTCGATGCATCTAAAAGGCGATGAATGTTCTTACCCTTCTATTTCTTCATGTTTCTGTTTATTGAGGACCATAAATCTCTTTAAAGCCCAAAGGAATTGGCCGTTACGATTGATGCATGTAATTTTCCCCTCTTGGTTTGATGCTTTCATAAAGGGCTGCAACTAAATCTAGTAATCTGTAATTAAATCTTTATGATTAATAAATTCATGGTTTTAGTTGATAAAATGTCAGTTGAGTGAAAAAAAAACCACACGTTTCCCCACAATCTAAAGACCTTTACAAAACAGGGGGTGAGACAAATAAAAAAAAAAACTAACACTGCAAAATACTCATCTGTACAGATATTTGTATGCTACTTGCTTAAACACCCACTGACATAGCATTTTCCCAATTTCAAGATTACAATAATGTCCTTTAATGCCTCGAGCAAGTGCATCATTACAAATTCAGTGAGGTGGACGAGGGATATTCAGACTCACAGGAGAGAAGACGAATGGTTGATACCAAACAAAACTACAGAAAACCCTCAGGGCTACAACGCTTTGCAATTTTCTCAAACCCAAAACTGTAACCAGCTTTGGTTCCGACTCTCTGTGGATGAATTTCAATCGAGAACAGTCCATTAAGATGTTTGATGCTTTGCGTCTTGTGAATGTTGGAACGCTGTTTAGATGCCATTTTTTTCCTCACTCTAGTCGAGCGTTAAGGACAGAAGATGTGACATCTTGGGATGGATGGATGGATGGACGGACGGAGGAAAGTCTGCTCAGAGAATAAGCCTGTTAACTATGTTGGTTTATAAAAGTGTTGAACTCATCTTATCATGAGAGACGAGGAAGAAAGACAAACAGAAGATCTATAGAAGAGTGTGTGTAAGTGTGTGTCTAAAGAGACAGACTTAAAGAAACTGAAAGATGAAGATGGTGAAAGAATGTGAAACTGTGCATTTGAGATTTAAAGAAATTGTAAATAAGGGCAATACTGCGAGGGATTATTGGAGCGAGAGGGAGGATAGAGGATCTTATCTTCTCTGGAAACATGAGCAAAAACAATATCTCAAGAGGAGAGCTTCTACTTTAACTATACAGGGCAATTACTTATGTTGAGTTTAAGCCCTGGGGTGATTTTTCCCTCTTGTATCCTTTGACCTATTCCTGTATTATCCTCGTGTTTGGTAGTGATGTTAATGTGCAATAAACACAGCTAAATTGGTTGTTCTTCAGGTGCACTCTGGTACAGTTTTGTTTGGAAGTGGTAAATGAGAGGTACAAAGACGCCCTCAGAGACAGACAGCTCAGGAGCTGGATAAAGCTCCTGAGTGCAATTTACTGCTCAGCCTTTCAAAAAAAAAAAAAAACACTTCAGGCATACACACAGTTGTGTCACACTTCCAAAGGCCCAACGCTCAAAGCTGTATAAACTCACAACAAAACAAGGCTAGGCTAGGGTGCAGGGCCGGGTTGTTAAAACTTTCACACTGAAGGGCCCCCCCTGGGTAGAGTGGCATAAATGACTTCCCAAAGAAAGAAAACGAGCAAGCTTGAACTCTCCCAACAAGTAAACTAGGCAAACTTCACAGCCGCTCTCTCTGCCACTTCTTAGATCAGCTGCACCACACTGCCTTGAGGAGAGACGGCAGCTCTGCCAGCTAAGAAAAAGGCATCTGCTCCCATTTCTTTTGTGTTTGTGAGTGTGCGTGTGTGTGTGTGTGTGTGTGTCCGCCTGGCCAACCGCCCCCTCCCCTGTGACGAGGTATCACTTCCTGGCCTGAGCCCACTTGACTGGCTGCCTTCCCATCTTCCTGCTGCGAGAGGCCTGCTTTCTGCTCTGCCAACTGACGTCAGAAAAAGGGGGAAAAGAAGTGGTTGTAGAGAAAGAGAGAGTTCAGTGTGTCGGTGTGTGTGTGTGTGTGTGTGTGTGTGTGTGATCCTTAAGGAAGTGAGTTTGAGGGTTAGACGTTCAGAGCGAGGCCACTACGTCTGCGGACATCTATAACTGAAGCCACAGTTTTTTAATGACTGTGTGTTGTCATTAGCAGTGACCAGCGGCTAAAAAAAAAGGGAAGTGGGATGTGATGAGACACTAAGACAAAATATCATGCCAGATATTTTTCTGACAATTTTTTCTTTAAAACAAAGTGAACTCAAATCTCAAAACAGCGTAAATTAATTTGCAAATTAATTGATGTGTGTGATTGATGTCATCTTTGCTTCCATATTTCTAGAAAACAATCTAACTTTGTGCTCGTGCTATCGCCACTAACTTTCAGTCGAGTAGCAACTAGTAAAATATTAAGAATTCAGATTTTATAATGCTCTCACTCAAAACTTTGTGTGCAAATACCCACTGCTTTTGCTCAGATTTGCTCTGCTCGTGCTCAAACCATGCACTTGCACTCAGAAATGTTGTTGCCTTGACAGATTTCCTACGCTACAGCTTCAGGTCTTCTGTTATGTGGTGTAATCATATGGAAAAACAAGTTTAATGTAAATAACATTATTCAGACTGAAACAGGTTGACAGCTGTGGGTGAAGTGGCTGTGAAGTTGTGAATGTAGTTTGCAAATGTGTATAATGCACCTTCCTGACAGATGTAGTAAAATTCACAGTGACCGAGTGGGCGTGTTGATGACGTTTCTGACACACAACAAACTGACTCAGGACAAAACAAACCACAGAGTCACACAGGATGAAAAAGAGCTGCCACACAAACAGTAGATGCTGACCAAAATGTCAACATGGAAATACAATGAGTCTTGAGAGCTTTTGGTGATAAGGATCTACACCAGTGTTGATGTGCTGCAAACAAAAAAAACGTCTTTAAACATTGTGGGATTAGGCATTGTTTGATTTTGTTTTTACCAATTTCCCAGCGAACAATTAATGTAGCTCGATTTTAAAAAATCTGGAACGTTTGGGAATTGATATCTACGAGTGTGTGAAATCAGGTGCAGCGCAGTTATGCTCTCTTCTGAGTGATATTCTAGTTGCAGGACTGTTGTAGTACCCTGCATTGCTTTTAGCTAAACGTACCTACCTACTGTAAATACACTCAGTACCAAAATACATGAGGGCGCTGTGCGTCACTGTGTGAGTAAGGGTATCACATTTTCCCGGTTCATTTGGACGGATGCGTGAGTGAGGGTCCTGCTGTATATCTGAGTTATGTGTGTGTGGGAAACTCAGTGAGTGAGCAGAGGCTCGTTTTAGCCCACTCCCCTCTGCCGGAATCTACGTCAGTCGGAATCTATGTATGGCGACTCGCTCATCCTCAGCCACCCCCATATACAGACGGCCTCAAGACACACACACTAGCACATGCACATATACACACACACACGCACATATATGCCATTTAATTTGGGTTTGGACACCGCTCTACTATAAAATCAGTATAATTCAGAGAAGCATTAAAATAGTAAGATGGCTGATGGCCTCATAAAACCATCTGACACTGAAGATAAACATTTAACCGGAACCTTCGTGCTCGCAGTGAAGTCCTCTCTGTCAAGGTTAGATCACGTTATACAATCTGTGTCGAACCGCATCTCAATTAACTCGACAGCAGGGAGGCACTCGAGTTAGTCGCTGGTCAACGAGGAAGCCAACCGTCCCTCCAAGTGTTAAGATGTTACTGCTCTGTGTCAGATTTAATGTCAGGCTTTCTGGCGCCCCGGTTGCCCTTTAGTGCAAGAGAATCACAAAAGGAATTGTGGGATACATAGCAACCGTTGCCAGTAGCCGCTTTCACTGAATGATTCTGACAGCTTCCAGCCCTCATTCAGTGGATAGCTGCTCCTTCGGTGGTATTTATAGCCGCTATTGATCGAGGACAGATTTGGCTGAGAGGGAAAAGCAGCACTTGAGATTTAGCGTCGCTCTATAGAATCGGCTTTGTGTGTCTGCATTTTTGTCGTGTGGAAAGAGCGCACTGTATGTCAGGGAGGAGGAAGGTGAATGTGAGGCCATCGCTTGTTCCTGGCACACGCTGTTTAAGTGTTGCATGTGAACAAGAAAATCATCAGCTCCTGCACTGTCCTCTCCAGACTACAAGCCCATCAGCTGCAGCCGTCCCTACACACTTAACTTCGAGTGCGTCAATCAATCCTGGCTGTTGGCTTGACTTGGCTGTAGGAGGCTACGATCGGAACCCAGACTCGCTGGGACTGCTCCAGGATGACTAATCCTCTATTTAAAGGGCTCACGGCTCAACTGAAGGCTGCTGGCAAACTGGCAATCAATTGTAGATGCTGAGGTGATGCAAGTCACTTTCAGGGAAACTGCAGATGGTCACTTAGTGCGACAAAAGTGCGTTTATACATCTATATCTAGAGGAAGGAGAGGTGACGCAGGAAAATAGTCCTTCTACCGCAAATATTTTTAATCATGAGCAATTGAACCGGACATGGCGACCTTTACATCGATACTTGCACAAATACACGTCCTTCTTCCTGTCTGGGGTGCAGCGGTAATTGCTGTGATTATGTGTAAAAAAGTGATGCAGCTGCCGGAGGTACAGTACGAAGCACAGCCCAGCACAGTCAGCAGCAACCAAAGCAGCTTTAATCACAGACGTGACGGTCCTCTGGGTTATTACGGCTTCTGCACAATGTTTACTGATGCTGTGCCGACTGAAAAGTTCTCTGTTTAAATATATTGATGCGCACAACAAATAACAAGGAGGGAAAGAAAAGTTCACAAACTGTTTCGTCTTCTTTGAGCACGGACATTTTAAAGAGATACTACACACCTAACTTTATTATTTGAGTGTTTGTGTTACACCAATACAGGTGTCGTGAATACTGTAAAATAAAATTTAAAAATGACTGCGTGCCACTCGGCCATCGCTGATGTTTCTGGCAACACCAGTTTGTTTCATGTTCCAGGTGAAAATGTGGATGGGTTGGAAGGCCATGGAATAAAATCACATTATGTGAAATGGGGCCTCTCCGACAGCATCATTTTTCTGTGGAGGATTGACAGGTTAATGGTGAGTACCAACAACCCAACCATTACACTGTCAAATGTTCCTGTACACTTGCTTTAGAATACCCTGGCACGTCCAGACGAAACCTGGAAGATGTGTTTGCCAGACATTAGGAGTGCTACCTCCTCACAAGAGGTTTCTGCGGGATTTTGTTTTTCAAAGGAGACATTTAAATGTACTGCTTGTAGATTTGCTGTCAATTTTGCAAATTCTCAGTTGTGGTTCGTTACAGGTCAGAGGGTTAGGGAAATGTTGAACAGAAATACTTAACACACTTCACTGGGTCTATTTCCTGTGGTAGACTTATGAACTTTAGAAGCTTCATATTGCTTTTCCAATATTGAAGGAGCTGTATTATGCTCTTATTCAGGTTCATAATTTTAATTATGGATTTTACTTGAAAAGGTTTATATGCCCTAATATTCAGAAAACACTTTCCTCATACTGTCCATTGCTGCAACTCCTCTTTTCAGCCTCTGTCTGAAACACTTGGTCTTAGCCCCTGACTGTGTGTGTTGATACTATGGCAGCTGAGAAGGACATTCTTAATAATAAATAATAAATCTCAGAGGTAGATGACATGGGTTTAAATGCACGCATATCAAAATACACAAAAAAAAATTAGCAAAATAGAAGAAAGAAAAACTGAAAAGGCTAAATATGTCTGATTTAATTTACCTGCTGATAATTCTCAATGAACCATTTTGTATATATTATATCAGAAAATAGTGAAAAAGGTTAAACACTTAATCAGGGTGGATGTGAAGCTCTGCTTTGTTACAGGCCTGAACTGACTGACAGGAGGAGTGTTTAAAAGGTCTTAGATGGTTGCAGCAGTCAATACATGATAATCTCCCACACTGCAAACAGAAATGACCGTGTTTAAGTACATCCCTGATGCTGCTGCTGCTGCTGCTGCTTACCTGGCCAGTGCCTGGACCTTGGCTGTGTGCCTCTCCTCCAGCTCTGCCAGCTTCTTCTTCAGCATATCCGTTTCTTGCCTCAGGCCGGCTGAGTGCTCCATCTCCCCGTCCAGCAGACAGCGAAGAGACCTGTCGCACACATGACGCAGATCACACACATGTAACACAACTGCAAGCAAAATAAGACAGCTTTCCATGTCGACGTGTCTCTACATGTAGATGAGTCACTTTCATATCTGTGAAGAAACCATCATCCGTGACTCCATCGCTGTTAATTTAATGCCACAACTACAATTTATCACATAAATGAAAACACAGCTTGGCAGTGATTATGATGAATCACAAACATGTAAAAGCATAACTCTGACTTTTCTGGTCATTTCATCTGAATTTTATTGGACCACTTTCTGTCTTTTCCTTAACGATCCATTTTAGCAGCTGTTGCATGGGTTTGAATCACAGTCTCCTTATTTAGGAAAAACAAAAAACACACCACTGAACTGTTTTCTGCCTCAAGTCAGCACAAAAACTGCCTCTCGTCTGAGGATGAGAAGAAAACAAGCTGACACAATTTATATTGAAAGATCATCCGATAACTCCTTCCAAGCTGAGTGTGTGGGTGGGTGTGTGTGTGTGTGTGTGGGTGTGTGTGTGTGTGTGTGGGTGTGTGTGTGTGTGTTTTTGAGGGCTTGCAAGCAGCAGATAAGCGAGGACATATCCCAACGTACGTGTTTTGTTCCTCCAGCTCGTCCTTCCTGTTCATCATGGCTACAATGGCCTGACGCAGCTCCACTGCAGAGGAGAGGAGAGAGTGAGACTTCAGCACTAACTCAAAACACATAAAACACACACACAGCAATAAGCATAAACTAGTAACCTTCAGTTTGATAAGTTTAGAAACCAATCCCACTTTTGCCCTTCCTGGATTATTGCTCTACTTTAGTTCCATCCCTAAAGTACAGTTTTTATGTTTTTCCACTGATAAGAAGAATCAACTCTTTTTTGTTTTTAAATGTAATACACACAGACAAATAGTGAGAATAGTTTCCTCCGAGAAGGAGGTTATTTTTTCATCTGCATTTGTTTTATTTGAAGCAAGACAATGATAAATGTCCTTGAAAATCTTGGTGGAAGGATGTTGTATGGGTCAGGGAAGAACCCATTCAAATTTGGATCAGAAGGCTGAAGGAGGTTTTTATCCCTTTGTTTAACATTGTGTTATGCATTTCTTTTTTTAAATATTTCGGGAACTGATATCTATCGGTGTGCGAAATTTGGTGCAGCTTAATTTAATTTACGGGGATTGTTGGGCCTTGGCGGAGGTGTGTGCTTGACTGAGTTATGTTCTAGTCTGCTATGAATTCTACAAAATAGCAGACACCAGCAACTTCACTTGAAATTCCCAATATCTTTTGCAGCCTGAGACGCATCAGTCAGTTGATGTTGATGTCCTCTCTGGTGTTAAGGACAGAGTGGAGCCGGGCTGTGTGGGGCTACAGTGACTCATCTGCTTCATTACGCTTGGAGGTGCACAGGAAGGTTCCAGAGCTCCTGATAAGGCTCTTACCACTAATTTCCAAAAAAAACAACCATGAGCAAAAGGAGTTCATCTACCCTGCACCTTTCATTCCACCATTTACACACACGCACACAAGGAGAGACCACAACTCTCTTCTCATCACTAATGTAGGGTGTCAATGTAGCCACAGACACAAGTAGGTCTCCTCCAGCCCTGAGCTAAATGCCTGGTTGGGGAGGAGGCGAACTGAGAGGAGGAGGTGTGTGATGAGGTGCGCAACACGGGAGAAAGTATATTATCACCGCAGCTTCATTCTCCACATCAGCAGGCCAGAAATAAATGTGACCTTTACTCCGACCACGCGTTCACAGCGGGTGCCACGGACGAGCCATTAGGGACTTCAGTCGAGCCAGACGCCCCCTCTGCCCTCACAAGGGGACGTGGACAACGCAAGTGTGGAAATACATGTGTCTGCGACATGCACGACAGAGCCACATCTGCTGGGAACGGTGGAAAGTGTTTTTAAATGTAGGTATGTAGGTTACTGTGTGTGCATGCGTGTGTTTGACCACCGGAAAGTTGTTGCTGAATTCCAATAATAGAAGCATTAGCGCAGAGTTCGGCCATGTAATTGAGGTGCCGTGTGAATTGTAGACTGCAGAATCTCCGATCGATGGATTGTGTGTCCTCACGTGCAATCAGATCCGGATGAAAATCACGGAGGGGGAGCTTACGTTGTTGTTGTGAATGTGCTGCTGTTGTGATCAATGTCATGACAATGGAGTGCGGGTTGCCTTTTTATTCAAACTTGTATCAATATTGACCATATGACATGTCCAAATTGCACTTTTGGATTGGATTATTCGATAGATTCCGTCTGTTTTTATTGTTTTTGTTTACACTCTCCTGATGTGAAGGACCTGAAGCTGTGTTTCATTGTATTAAAGGTGCCATTTAAGCTATTATTATCAAGACCATTTCTACACAGAGCTTCTCCCACACAACTTATGTAGTGACAAACATCTGTGTTTATTTCACAAAGCCTCACTCACGAAAAAGGGCAAACACTGTCATCAGCTATATGTACTATTCTTGAGAAGTAAATTTAGACACGCTGTCATGATATTTTGCTCATTCTTCTATTTATTGAAAATCATATTCCTTGGCTAACAATGTTTTTTTTACCTTTATCATATATGTAATTTACCCTGCAAGGCACAGCAGAGATGGACAAAGCCACAGGTAAACAGGATAGGATGCAATTAAAAGACGACAATAATGCATATTATATCTTTAAGCCTCAAGACCAAATTCTTAGAAAACCAATGAATCATCAATTTGTGACATTACTTGCTTTCCAAGAGTTTATCTTCATGCCACTCTCCCTCTTCTTGCCTTATCTTCTTGTGGTTTCCTACGTTTTCCATGAACAACTTTGCGCAGCACCTCGAGAGACAGGCTGTAATTGTTGATTCGGGTTACGTGAGTGGGCGGGGAGAGAGCAGAAGCAATGTGACTGTGGATATTAAGAAGCAAGAGAGCAAGATTTTTCCGGCCGAGAAAAAAGTCATGGTCTCATCGCTCAAATTGCCAAAATTTGTTTTGGCTGCGTCGGATTCTGGAGTATTGAGCCGACGGAGGGCACAGATATTGGCATGCGTGCCTCTGTCAGGATGCATTTCCCGCAATGTGATTGTTGGACGTCAGAGAATCTGGAGATAGAGCTTGTTGAGCTCTGATTTTAAAATGGCCGACATGAAAACCACATGTTACAGGGTTTCAGACTTGATTTGTTTTTTACAGAAAACCCCATCATGATAACTGTCACCAGGAAGAGAGAAAGCATCTCACCTTTACTTGCATCCCTGATTTGGCTTCAGGAATAGATCAGGATTGAGTTAAAGGTTATTTTATTTGTTTTTAAAGCTTTAAAAGACTTTTCTTGTACTTAGTGGCTGCATCCTTCGGAGGAGGCAGTGCCCGTGGGCCGCGTAGACCGCCTCCTTTGCGGGCAGCATGGATAACACAGGCCGACCTGAAATGAGCCGGGCTGTTCTACAGAGGATCTCCACGATCGGTGTCACCGGCTGATCCCACCCTTACTGCTCTATCTTGCCAACAGAGGTAAAGTTGCACATGCATTGAAAGTTTTAACCTCCCTTGCTTAGTTTAACAGCCTTGTCCCGCCGCTGTGATATAGGTCTTCAAATGCAGCCTCTGAAGGATGCAGCCCCTGAGTTGACACAGCTATTGTGTCTCCTTTTATTGTGCAGCACGTTGGTTGACTTCTGTTGTTTTTAAGCGAGCTATATGAATAAACTTGACTTGGCTATGGATAAATCTGTCTTAAGATATGGTCTGATCTAAGTTAGATGAACTCTGAATGTTTAGAGGCTGCATTCAAGAACAACGGACACATGAATGACATAGTTTGTATGTGATGTGCACAATCTACTATGTACAATGTACAAATATTTGGCTTTGATAAAGATCAGATCACATTTTATGACCAAATGATGCAGAAAACGATGGAAATTCAAAGGGTTCTCATATTTTCTGTCTATAAACTGTTTATATCTTACTGAGGCCTCATGAAGCCGTCTCTACACAAGCGATTTGTAGATCACTCGCTCTTTCTGTGACCCCATGACCACCTCGAACAGAAAGCTAATAGATTTGACGACAGTTCAATCCTAGTACTTACAGGCAAGCTGCACTCACCTTTCCTGCCCTGGCTCTGCGTATCTTTTTCCCTCATACACATACACACACACACAAACACACACACACACAAACACACACACACACACGAGCAGCATCAGTGTGAGCAGCTATGAGTCTAAACTCTGATTACCTCCAGGGCACCAGGCAGAACAACCAGCCACATGAAATGCTCATGATGTATATTTCTTTAAATCTCAATTTCCTTTTTTTATCCACATGTGACATCTCACAGCTGATCTGCAGGAATTCACACAATCTTAAGTTGCCCGCAAGCAAAATCCTCTGAGAGAAGTAGATGAGTGAGTAATTGCTCACAGTGACATGTGCACACACAGGAGCAACAGTGCCATCTGGTGGATTGTTTTCCATGCTGGAGGAATAACAGTAAAGGCACTGGCACGGGGCTTCACTCTTTGTAATTAGATCACGTTTAACTGCACTGAAAAAAAACAGGTTTTGAAAACACTCATCAGCAGGTTTGATTTAATTTGCCACAGCAACAGCTGGTTTCTGACAAAAACATGTTTGGGAACTATCGAATGATTCATTACCAACACAAACTTGTTATGAACATACATTTCTCATCTGATATAACCTGAGCAGGAAGTGTATTTTTTACTGTCATAACTGATGTGAATCTTTTGTATGTTTAATTTGATTTATATTATATCCGATCAGCAGTCGGCGATTGCTGTGTGTGAACTCTTCAAAGATGCGACTCGAGGGGCTCGCCGATTCCAACTACATTTCTAACAAGCTAAATATATAGACAAGTCGGCGACAACAACAGCCAATCAGAGCACAGGAGGGCTTGAAGGCTTATGTAGTGGTGAGGTGTCCCCTGATACATTTTTTTAATTTCCACATTTCTGCAATAGAGTGAAATCGAGAAATAACCATGCATGAGAGGGACAAAAAAAAAAAAGTTGGGGACTGTTTTCAGTCATAGCTGCTCTCTATTCTTTACAACTGTAATGTCCACTGAAAGGTTTCACCTCCTGCAGCCTCGTAAAGAGCAGGAGGATCAGTCCGACTCCTCATGCCGTTTCCCGCGTGTTTTTTTTTTGTTTGGACACCAGACTGGTCGGGTGTTTATCCTTGTAAAAGGTTGTGTAGTGTGTGACCCCCCTGCTCCCAGTCAGACATGTAGCATGTCTATACAACGACCGACAGAAGATCAGACGACAGCAAGTCATGTGGTGCATTTGCCTCAAGACGTTACTGTGATGATAATGAATCCTTTAGGTTGTGACAACACGAGTCCTGTTGAGCAGTTAAAGTGATATAATTGCTGTTAAGTGAAGTCATGCGGAAAGATGTTCACTTGTCTCACATGTGCAATAATCAATGATGATTCATTCCACAGGAACAGACAAACAACCCAAAAAATATGAGCAAGAGAGAAAGAGAGAAAGAGAGAGAGAGAGAGAGAGAGAGAGAGAGAGAGAGAGAGAGAGAGAGGGAGAGAGAGAGGGGGGGGGGGGGGTAGTATGAGACAGACAGATGGGAATAGGAAAGACACTCACCCACTGTCATGGACTCTGGCAGACCAGGTGTCGGCAGGACGCTGGAGATAGGAGCAGACGGCGCCGGTGGACTTGACTCCATGCTGTCAAACACGAAAACATGAATCAGGTACTTCTGAATCTCTTTGAACTATGTTGCAACTGATTTTTGTGCACAAAAACACAATTTTCTATTTAGTCCTGGAACAAGATTTTACCCTGCACCAGAAATAATCCCTGTGACAACACATCACATCCGCCTTGCGCCTTACTTGAACGTTAGCTCCGACCTGCTGCTCTCACAGTTTCCCACCGGCCCCGTTGACTCACACTGAGCAGGAAATCCAGCCGCGTCCTCGACAGAGCTCACTGAAACAGAATGAAAGTAAAGGTGAAACCACAGAGAGATAGAGAAAGTACCTTAACTTCAAACGAAAAGAAACTGATCGTCAATGCAGATTTAAAGCCAGTCAAACAAAACAGCATTTTAAATTGTAATGAGTTGAAAATAAGGATCAGTGAAGCACTGCAGACTCAAGGCAGAGAAGATGATCATTTAGCATCAGAGTGTTTTTTTAAATCTTTTTTTTTAATTCAGTTTTGTAGGTGCAGGGCTCTCTATGAGCTCTGTGGCTGTTGTTCTGGTGGGGGCAGTATCAAACCTGGCTGGGGGTCCGCAGGGTTCAGAGGGATGAGGATGTCAGAGCTGCTGTGGTTTGTCATCACCTGTAGAGAGCTCCACGTGGACACACTGGACAGACTCCCGACCACCACCCTAAATAATAACAAGTTTAATCCGGGTCAGTTTGTTTGTCAGCTTTTAACATTTTGGAGTAAAACCTCAACTGCACAACATATTATTCAACCATATCACCTATTCTAGGATTATGTAGTGGTTCTGCTCCATTTATTCCACTACTTGGCGGAGGTAATATTTTCAGCCCGGTACATTTGTCTGTCCGTCTGTTTGTTAGTTAGCAACAAGACTGTATTCTCCACTTTCTTTAATATTGCGAGATAAGACATTTTTAAAGATTTTCAAGATTTCGTAAGGGAATCATTTATGGATCTTGATTACAATAAATCAGGCACATTTAAGTCTGATATCTATGAGTGAGTGGATACATTTTAAGGGGATTGTTGGGCCTTGGCAGAGACATGAGCTTTACTGAGAGCCATTCTTTTTATTTGTTATAAGTAGATTTATAGATGTTTATTGACATACAGTGTAAGCCACAGTGAATCTAATCATATATAAATCATTTCTGTGCAATAGGATTTAACTGAGTTACGACTCAGAGAAGAAGTTAGAGTCCATCAAACAAAAGTTCCTGTTGTTTTTGGAAGGCACGCTTCAGCTTCACATACACTTTACTCTTTCAGTGGAAGCAGACATCACAATCTGGTCTATTCACTGTCTTGTGTCATGAATTAATCTTGTGATGAGAGTAAAAACGTTTTTAAAGATCTATAAAAAAATGTATCCTGTATTCTGTCTTGGCAAATAAACCTAAAATCTGTCACACTTTTTTTATAATATTGGTTGATTATCAACTATTTCAGGCTCTGAATATCTTTGTTTTCTGATGAACAGAGAGAAACAGGCTCTGTCCTATTAATCAGGAACCTTTAATTTGTCAACAAGGTAAAAAGAATGTGAGCACTTGTAAATAACAAGTATTCTGCCAAAGCCCCACGTTGATTTCTATCATAAAAAAAAAGAAACGTGAACTATTTATTTTTAGACTTTTTATAACTTGACATTCAGTGGATGTTTTCTGACTCACTGATCAGAGCTGATCCTCTCCTCCTCCTGAGGTTGTGCTCTGGGTTTGTACATCTCCTCCTCCTCTTCCTCCTCGTTGTCGATGCTCTTTCTGTCGGGCAGAGGGGGCGTAGTTGCGGGAGGCGTACGAGAGGGATGCGGGGACCCAACCCAGCTGACTATGCCCGGTTCCTCCAGGCCGTTCTGCGCAGGCGACTGGGAGTAGGCCGGCTCCAGTAGGTCTATCCCTTCCTCCACGCTGCTCTGAGCTGGAGCGGTGTGACTCTTCCTTATCGTGCCTGTTTTCTGGGAGTCCTCCTCCCCCTCCTCCTCGTCCTCCGCCCCACCATCCAGATCATCATCAAAAGAAATGATGTTGGTGATCTTCTTTTTCCTGCGGCGCTCCTTCCTCAGCCCTGAGTCTGGGCAGGATAAAGATGAAAAAAAGTTAACTAAACCTTTAATCTCAAGCTTCAATTAAGTAAAAACTTAAATGGATTCAATACTTTTCTGTCTAGACTGGCTCCGTCCAAGCGCTCATACAAAGTTTAGCAACGATGACATCAGCATCTAAACTTTATTTCACTTACTCGACTTAAAAAGCATTTCACACTGACTGTGGTTCAACCCTCTTCCTTTGCAGCGCCTCGCTGTGCATTAGCGAGTCTTCCACCGCGGAATAATCTAATGGCTCTTGCCACCTAAAAGAGGTGGTGCACCAATTTGGAATTTAATTTGCATTCAATCCACTCGAAGGTTTTAGCACCACACAGTAAAAATTTAAAAGCTTGTCCATCTCACCGAGGAGAACACATAGAGGGAAAGTTTTCCGCCGACAGGAAGGAGCGGGGCAGCTACAGCTAAATGAGGTCAAATAAGGAGGCCGAGGTTCTGGAAGTTTATTCATTTCATGGGGGATTTCATCTCCGCTGCTGCAGCTCCGTGCTGCACATGCCTGGTGATGCATCCGCTAGATTCTATAAGTGCATTTATTAAACATGCCGGAACTGAAACGTGTTGTTTTTGTGTTGCTTCTGAGCGTAAACACATTTTCAGAAATTGCAGCATTCGACGTGTCTCCCACCTCTGTCACAATTATATTATTTCATCATTAAAACATAACACTGATATTTTGGTCTTTTGTTTGCAATAGAATCCAAAGTATAGATGAAAATTAGATTGCATTTATCATTAAAACAGCGCAGTCTTACCAAAAACAAATAACCAACTTTTAATTTCTTGCTGCAACAAAAAAACAAGACATATCAACTGTCATTTCCTACCAGCAGAGGTGCTGCGCGGAAGAACAGGTAGCGGGTCCGACGCTCCATCCCCTCTGGGGGTGAATCCGGGCACCACGGCCGTGGCTGTGCTGATCTCACGCAGGAGGCTGCTCACCCCCTGAGTAGACTCCTTCAACAGGCTGCCGATGCCCTGCGTGGACTCCTTGAGGAGGTGGGAAACCGACGGGCCTCCACTTCGCGTCAACCCGCCGTTCAGGTCGGTGTTGTCGATGTTGATGGCAAACAGGATGGAGTTCAGGCCTGAGCACAGCAGAGAGAGAGAGACTGTGCATGAAAGGAGAGGAAATGCTCTGGCAGGAGATCAGTGGTAATTATTCTTTCTTATTCTATATTTTAGAGTTTGTGGTCATAAGTTGTGCTCATCAATAGTTCCACAGTAAGAGAACATCCATTAACATTAATAGGGTTTGGGCAGCAGCTCTCAGTCAGCCCAGCCTAAACCATTAAAGTGCAGAGTCAGTGAATTTCCTGCTTTTACAGCAGCTTTGTTTGTGTGAGGCCTGTTCACATTTCAGTGAGAGTGAGGCAGTGATGCCCATTACACAACAGGATCAGATTTCTGGATGGATAATAAACAGAGGCACAACTTTGCTGATCTGAGATGCTTATCATGAGAGCGGAGGAAAAAAAACGCCTGGCCTGAGGCGTGGTACCAGACATAGAATGTGTATGGTGGCCATTTCAGAGTCAGACTGTCAGCTTGGTTCAACTTTTATCAATTTGAAGCATACTTTACTAGCTTCAGTTACTGTTGCTACTTTTACCTTCGACAAGGAGTTTTTTTCCACACCCTTTTCTCGTTTGTTTGTCAGCAGGATAACACAAAAACTTGGTGGAAGAAACTGACTTAATTTTGGCATGAACCTGGACAAAGGAGCGGAACCAGGATTTGTTTACTCTTTGCGACATTGGGCATTTTTTAATATTTGCATACTTGATATGCGCTATGAGTGTTGTTCTATTGTGCAACTGCAATTGTTGGGATACTAACGATGCAGCTAATGATGATGACGACATGCTGAACATTAGCATGTGAAATGCTACTTAAAAAGCTGTTATATTTGCATAACCTGCAACATTAGCATGTTAAAGATAATAATTATATTAATGTTATTGATGAGTAACAGTCAGTTACAGCACCAGCATGGCAAAACAATCTGTCAAACCTGAACCCTGACAGTTTGTTGTGTAGTATGATCACCTACAATTACCCAACGTTACATCAGACGTGTATATAATGACAGCTCCCCAGGAGTGAGGCCAAAAGGTCTTGGCCTGCTGCAGTTTTCTCAAACATGCTATCTGTCGTTTCGGTAGTTCTTATCACACTGACATTTGTTCAAGTTCATTTTTCTGGTAAGTTTGGTTCAGATTTTTGTTTTGATGCTATAAAGATGATATGTAAGACTGTGGGTCCTAATGAACAAGATGGCAGCGTCTAGATAGTGGGAAGAAGTGGAGAAGTGTTGTCCATCTTTATATACTATATATGCTAATGACACAAACTGACCTGCAGCCATGGTGGGGAGCATACTTGCTCTCTCTTCATCAAGAATAAAAGCCCCGTCTTCATAGTAAGTTCTGGAAGAGAGGTAACAGTACATCAAATCAACAGAGCGAATCCCTGCATACAAGTTGTAAACAGCACAAATGTAATATAATTAAAGTAGATTTGCAATCTAAAAACATCTTCTCATAATATAAAATATAAACACACAGACAAGCAGTACTAACCCCAGACGTGGGCGGTCAGCCAGCAGTGTGTGCAGGTAGCGCTCCAGCGAGTGCTCGTTGAGGGCGCAGCGCAGCCACGCACGACCCCGACCCAGCTCTGAGGAAATGTGACGCAGCGAGTAGAACCGCTGGAGCTCATGGCGGTTAAGGTGCTCCTTCACGTAGAACCAGAAAGTCAACTCTGGTGGTGGATAAAAAGCAAAATAGGACACAAGGAGAGGGTGAAAAAGGAGAAGAGGCGATGGGAGGTGAAAGGTGGCGTGATGGGGGCATTAAGAGGAGAAAATGAGGGAGGAAAAGTTGCAGGGAGGAGAAGAGGAAAAGGCAACAAGGTTTATAAAGAAGATGAAGAGTCAACAAGGGGAAGGGAAAAGAAGAACAGGGGATGCAAAGGTGAAACAAGGTGAGACAAAGGAGGGGAGAATTAGTTTTTCCTCATTTGTGAAAAATAACCGTTCTTGAGTCACACAAAGGGTCAAACACTTCTGGAGTCCTGAGAGTCGACACATCTTCGCTCTCTCATTAAAAAATATCCACAGTTTCTGGCACGCAGCTCCATCCTCACTTCCTACCTGTCACCTCTCCATATTTCACACTGACCTCACGACTCACACCGTTTTTATTATTTTCTACGACAAAGAGAAGAAAAGATAAAATAACCTCTGAGGGGGTTTCCATATAAAGTTTTCTAAGGGGGGGCGCAGTGATTAATAGGAATGAGAGTTACGCTTCTTTTCTGCATATAATGAGCCTGTGACCTCAGACCAGTGTGTTAAAATGACGTCTGCTATTTCTGGCTTTAAGGACTCGGCTTCATTAATGAGCTGCAAATCCACGAATTCAGCCACAATCCTTTCTTGTAATTGACTGTGAAATACAGAGAACGTCAGATATGCTAATGCTTATATGGTGGCTGCCGTTACAGAAGTCATGCATTTCTGCTGCAACGTGGAATTAATAACTATGGGGTTCTTCAGTACAACGCAGTAGAAACAATTAAGGGAAATGTGAAACTAATGACTCTCGGTTTGAGAAAATGGACGACACGAGGGACACTCTAAAGTGAAGCCAAACGTCTTGATCGCCCTCTGGTGGCTGGCTGCAGTAAAGGTCATGAAGCCCAAACAATACACCAAATATGTCATTTAGCTCGTTTTTAATCACACTGTTTTATATTTTTACTGTAAGTTTGATTTCAATTAGTTATTTGATGCTATAAAAACTATTGACAGCTGAGACTGTGTATTAGTGGGACCTCAATACCTCAGGGAGCTTTGAGGGACAAAGGAGGAGAATCCCAAAACTAAAAAATGTATGTTTTTTTATATAAAAGTATTGTGTTTTTTTAAAGCTGCCTCAGGTTCCAAGACTTTTTACTACAAACTAAACTTCTACTAGACTACAGAGAAACAACCCAGGTATTTTTTCTTTACGGCAGCAGAAGTAGAAATTTACCAGATGTCTTTTTTGTACCTGCTAATTTTTAGTTCCACATGATGCTATCGGCAGTTTGGTATCTTGACTGCAATCAAAAATAAACTACTGTAGGTTTGAACAAGGCTTGAAAACATGGCATTCATTTATGATGACAAACTGGCAACATTCATCAAATCTTTTAAGGACTGTGGTACTGACCATCGAGACAGAGAGACAGAGGTTTGACGGGAGAGCAGAGAGGACAAAGTGAAACACTGAAGCAGAAATCATCCAGCGTTTGTGCGTCCTCTCTGTATTCTAATAATCTGGTCTCAAAGCAAGGTGGTGATTATCCTGCAGCTCAGAACTTCACACTGATTCATCTCCGTCCTCCAACCCGTCATGACAAGCTGCCCTCTGGCAAGGTTACAGCTTTCTCTGGTCTCCTTTTCTCCCCTCAAGATAAAGGCTGGAGGCTGATGTTAAGTTTCTGCCCTTATTTCCAACTTGAGACCTGAGTTTAACAAATCGTGACTCCTCCTGCAGCGAACCACCCGACCCATCGAGCATCATACCTGCTTCGGCCTTGCTGCTGAAGCCCGCAGCCTGCTTGAGTGCGGCAGCAGTTAGGGCCAGACCTCTGCTTTTCCTCAGGCCGTGCTGCAGCACCGCTTCAAACTGGGCGCACAGACAGATCACTCTGCGGAGAAAAGGACGGGTTTTACTGGAGGAGGGGGTTTGTTATCCAGTGGTCACCTTTAACGCTTACAGGTACAGTGGTATGAAGGAGTGTGTCCACCGCTATTTAAAACTGTAGATGAAGATGATGAATCACTAAAGTCTGATGAAGCAACGTCAGTTAACCATTTTTATATACACCTTATTTTACTAGTCTTGCATTTCATAAATTAAACCAACAATATCTAACTCCAGCCACTAGGGGTCTCCCAATCAAAACGACAACAACATGAAGCAGTGTGGGATCATGGGAGTTGTTGTCGCCACTATTTGCAGAGAAAAATCTACTACTCAGGCACAATTTATGTTCACAGAGAAGGTCAAGGTCAATTTAATTCATGGCAGCAAACAGCAGTGAATAACTGTGATCTATCACGAGGGACCAATCCAAATAAAAGACAATAATACAAATAAAGTGGATATGACACAATTAAAAGACGACCAAAATGATACGTCCTGTTACCTTGAAGAAAACTGAGTTTGTTGTATGAACATTGTGGGAAAACATTTTGGTAATGTACACACGTCAACAAAATATTTAACATGGGTCTAATCAGTTTTAGACATTTTGTAACATATTGAACCTTATCTTATACCAAATCTTTCGTGCTGCTTAAATGTAATAAAACGTACTGTATCAACATTTTCAGATCACTGCACAGAAGAGGCTGCAGCAAGTCGAACACACACTGGAACACTACAGCGTCGAGTGGCCTGAAACTGCACACGTAAACCAAACAGCCCGTGTGTTTGCTGAGGAGATTTAGATACAACCACTGAACTTCTCGGAAACAGGCAGCTTCTCTTACCTGCTGTCCGAGTCGGTGGCGATCTCTTTCCTTCCTCCAAAGCGAATTTGGCACTGTGAAGAGATGAGGGGGGAATGATAGGAGCTGCCCAAGAAACATCTCATTCTTCAGTGTTCAAACCCAGAACACAATCAACACATTTCAGGGGCCTGCAGTAGCCACAACACTGTATTTTTTGTTTTTTCTATAATACGACACAACCAGTAAGCTGCAGTTTCACAGAAACTCAAACATGACGTCATCTAGAGTCGTGGTTATGCTGTATCCTTGTTTTACTTCTCATTTTACTAATTGTTGTGCGTAATTGTTCATGTGACCTGCTTGATAGACATCTGTGTCTTTATAAGCTGCTCTCAGAATCGTAATGAGGTTTGCACACTTTCCTGAAAATTCCCGGAGGGGCTGCATTTTAAAGTGCAGATGACAGAGCCAATTGTTCCCGGACATTTTCCAGAACCTTTTATATACCGGCACATGAGAGAAAAACAGTAGGAAAATGTCGAGTAGGAATGTTGATGACGTTTCTAACACGCAGCGGAAGCAAAACAAACAAGAACTTAAGTATTAAAGGGTGATAAAGTGGAGCCACGCACATAGAAGACACCAACAAAGATGTCGACTCAGAAAGACAGCGAGATTCAAGAGCCTATGCCAGTGTCGAAGTTCCTAACCCCAACACAGAAAAGGAAATGTATTCATGTCCTGTCTCCTGCATGCGCCCGTTGTTGTGATCATGTCTGACTCCTGCTGCTTTCTCTATATTTGAAAGGCAAAACAGGAAGTTCATGTCTGAAAACCACTTAACAGTTATGTCACTGATTGATCAATTAATTATACTCAGTATCTGTGCATGTACTTTTGTGTTGTTTGTTTTTAGACATGTGTCTATATGTTATTTCATGTTTTTTGAGGGGTTTTTTTTTACCATCAACCTGTCAGGGACTGCAGATGAAAACTAGTTTCGTGGCTAAATCGAACCTAAACTTACTGTGTGTTTAGACTAAGGTACACATGTAAATTAATGTGTATTGTCCCTTCTAAATAAATAGATGTAAAGACTGTAAAACCTGAGCAGAAGCATCATCACCTGAATAGATGTGCCATTAATAATGCAGGTTCACAGGAACTTGAGGATTTTCTTTTACTCTTTATGTCTAATCTGCAGCACTGTGATTTCATACAAATCCAGACAGGACCTGATACGTACACTTCCTACTTTCTCTTTTTTCTCCATGTATGGGGAAAGGTCAACAGATAAAAAAAACATCTATCAATGCTTTATTTATTTCCACACTCAATGGAAACCTGAATTTCACAGAACACTTTTCTATAATAACACTTGAATTCAACCATTTATCTTGCAGAAAACATCTACCCAACATTTTTGCACCTTATTCAAAAAAAGATGAACTTGCAAAGTTTCACGTCTTGTTTACTGTAGTGTAGATGGGGGAAGTTAAGGTTTTAAGAAGTCCTTCATTTCCACATTCCAGTGAAATATGTGACTACACCAATACTTCATGTGAACTGATTTCTTAATCATGCAGACACAGATACAAGTGTATGGAAGTGTTGATCTTTCTCTGTATATTCACTTCTAAACAACAACATTAATTGAAAGCAGAACGTACAAGTTTTCTTCTTCCTTTCCTTCCAATCAAGTTAAAGTACTAAATGTGGCCACGTGTGACTTTTGTGTGAGTCTGACAGAAACTCACCTGTTTGACAGCGTCCAGCAGCCTCTCCAGGAGGTGTTGTCTCTTGGTATCACTCTGCTGAGTGCCTGCAGCAGCGACGACACACACAGGAAACAACACAAATGTGATTTGTGACAGATAATAAAGAAAATGACTGATGTGCACACTTGATTTGTATCGATCCTGCATGTTCACATCAAAAGGAAAGATATTATTTCTGTTGTGGAAAAACACAGTTTGCAATAATGACATTTTTCATCTTGGTATTATTTTGGTCATAATGTCCAGTATGAGCTCAATACATGTAAGGTTTGGGGTAAAAACGAAGACGTTTCCAGAGAATCAGTGTTTTTTTCCCAACAAATGGTTGATAAATAGAAAAAAGTCCTTAGCGTCTAGAATTACTTAATGTAGTCCTTTAATGTTTATGACTACAGCATTTCTCTGATTCACATCTATGCGGTTATATATAGCGTTATAGATATTATATAAGTCTGCCAGTCCACTGGTGCAGATGGATCATGACTTGTCAAATCATCGCACTCTTGTTTTGCACCTCACAGATCTTAATGAAATTTGGCTGCATGAGTTCACTGCAGCTTCGTAATAAAAGTGATGATATCTCAGCCAAGACTCAAAACCAAGGACCAAACTCTCTGCAGGTCTTCATGACATTATAAAATAACTTTGGTGACAGTAAAATAAAAACAGGATTATTTGCAATGGAGCTTTAACTGTAGTGATCACTAATCTTCAGCTCTTCACCAAAAAGTTCAAACCTCATTAACCCATATCTCCTGTATTTAAAATCTGTGACACATGAAATAATGGTTGCATGTATTTCCCATTGAAGATTTTCATTGAGGTATGTGAAGGTGTGGTGACTTGACACTGAATGAGTTGGGCAGTTCTTTATTCACTTGATGCCACTTCAACATGAACCAGTGAGGTGTCCTGCAGCTTGTCACAGAGGATCTGAACAGTAAGAGGAGCGGAGATGCAAATATGTTGATTTAAACTTTACGTCCAAAAGTTCAGCGAACCAGTGCAACCAATGTAAAAAGTTAGTCTGGAGCCCTGGTGTGATTTATGTGTTAATTAACGATAAACAATAATTTAGCACGGCCCTCAAAGGATGTTGTGAAAATTGAAAAGGCCCTGGATAGAGAGAAGGTCCCCACCCCTGTCATAAAGAGACGTAAACGTTTAGAACCTGGGGAAGAGTGTTTCAATGATGCTGAGAGGCTTTTTAGTTTCTCTGGAGCAAAACACTGAAAGATGAATCAATAAGAAAGGTAGTAAAACACCGGAAATGCAGTCTGCAGGGTGTCAACATCGTGAGGTGACATTGTGGAGCCAGTTTTGAACCAGTCAGCAGGAAACCCCCTGATCTGATCGTGAATTACTGAAGCTCCTCCATGCATGAGTCCACATGTCGTGTTCGTGTGAGTGACAGTGAGATCTCACCGTTCATCGTGACGGACAGACTGTGATGGCGGTGACATCCAGGAGACAGCTCGTGTGGTTCATCCCTCAGTCGCTTCACTTCCCTCGGAGCTCAGTCTCGGCCGCGCACCGGGCCCATGCTGCCGCCGTGGCCGAGCTGCACCCACCCTGGCGCGGCGTGTGGGACCGGATCTCCCTCGGTGAACGCAGAGGCCTGCCGGGTGAGGAGGAGTGTGTCACAGTGTGGGATGAAGCCGCCGGAGAGAGCGCGGAGAGCCGCTGAACTTCATGACTGGGACTCAGGCTGATGGTTCAGATCCAGCGGAGAGTGTGTGTGAGGTGAGGAGCTGCGGACACACACACACACACAGCAGCTGATCGCAGGTTAGAGCCTGAAACACAGAGAAACACAGAGAAGCGGACACTGAGCTGTGTCAGGGTCACATGACCAAACACACTGATGTCATATGACACCTGCGGCCTGACGGGAGTTGTAGTCTTCCTGTGTACTAGAGGTTCGGGACTACAGATTTATTAAATGAGTAAAGATGTTTATTGTCAAACTGTCATACAAAACAAGCGAGGGACAATTGTTAACAAAATGTTTAGAAGTAATAAAGACGAAAGATTTTTTTTACAGCAGTTATAATACAATTCATGCAGTGATATTTGAATAAAATAAAAAATATACACAATAATGCAACAAGAATACGTGATAATTTTACATATTTATGATACATATTATTAATTTACTATATATACACACACACATATATATATATATATATGTGTGTGTGTGTGCGAAAGCAGGAAGAAGAATATTCTGTATAATCTGCCCCTCTTTCATAAGACAACTAATTAAAGTAGCTGCAGGCCAACACAGCCCCTCACATCCCTCTATTAGTTAGAATTCATTACATACCATTCAAAGAAGCTCGCTAAATGATTTACCTGACACAAAAACCACACAGAACAAAACTTAATTAACACAATTCAATGTATTTCCTCAACAAACTGGCTTTAATTGATTTTTTTAAACGTCTTTGTTTCAGATTCTTTGGTTTCTTTGTTGAGATTGTTTCATAAACTGATTCCTTTCACTGCAATGCAACGTTCCATCAATTTGTTTTTGAATCTTGTTATTTAAATCATTATTTTTATCATAATTATTATTATTATTGATAATGTTCTTATACAGTTGTTTTTTTGCCAAAATCAATCGGTTATAAATCACTGAGCAGGACTGCGTTATTGCAAAAGTGAATGAACAGGTTCCAAGCATTCAAATAATTAAGTAGATTTAGTTCATCTATTCACTGGATTGGCTAAAATCCAGTGATCCCATCTGTATTTCTTTATCATAATATAAAATGAGAAGACAGAATATTTGATTTAGATTGTCTGACCCTTCTTATTACAAATACTGTGTGCTACTCTTGCTTTAATATCAGCACCTCTGCTTCTGAGGCCTCCTTCAGATGCTCAACATCACCTCAGGCTACCTCTACAGTCCACCAGGTTTATACAGCTGATGCCCTTTTATTAGAGGATCATAAACAGACCAGTTCATTTTGACAAGTTGCTGAACAACGTTTGGACAAGTTGAGGCTGTAATTTTATTTTTTTAAGATGAGGTGGTTTTGATTGTTTACAAAATCTATTGATTTAAGTCACACACTGTTATAAATGGATGAGGTCAAAAATGCTTAATCAGCCTTTGCAAAAGAAGTAGATTTATTTGACCGGCTGTTGCTGAGGAGGTAGAGCGGGGCGTCCACTAATCAGAAGGTCAGTGGTTCAATCCCCTGTTCTTCCATTCCTTGTGACTGTCTTAGGGCAAGACACTGAGCCGCTGTGTGTGTGTGTGAGATTGATTTATGATAGAGTGCTGCACTGTCTGCATGTGTGTGTAAACGGGTGAAGCACTTTGAGTGGTCATCAAGACTAGAAAAGATCCATTTAACATTTATTTGTTTTCCTCTGAGATCTCAGTTTGGAACACGCACCCTCCAGCACGATTAGTGACATCACAAATATTTCAACAACCAGTGATGTTAACATTTCCACAAAGATTGATAATACATAATACAATCAATAGAGATAATGACATTTTAATTTACATTTATACATCAAATAAATAAGCAGAAACTTTTCAAAGTCTGTGAATCAACCAAACACGACTAAAAACAACAGATTAGAAAGCTGTGGTGTCTGAATCAGAGTAACATTGTGCAAAGTTTTCCTTTTATCAGTGAGATAAGAACATGTGGGTCTTATCTACACACGACTTTACTGCTGTATAATCATTACTGGAGCAAAAACAGAAACATTTTCAGCAGAAGAAACAGACGAACAAATGAAACAAACATAAAGTTCATTGTCTCTTTGACCGGGATGGATGAGCTCATATTGACAGTGTCTCTCTCTCGAGTTGTTTAGGTGTTGAGGAGATGGTGTTGTCATATATAGTGGCGAGCCCCACGTCTGTGTTCCTGCTGCTCTTCCTGAAAGAGTTCCTGAAGCGGCTGGACATGCGCCTCACCGCCCGGCCGAGGCTCCGGTTTCTCAGCTTGGTCATGCCCACGTCATCCTCCAGCTCCTCCGGCGGCACCTCGATGTTGCCAGAGTACCAGAACACCCACCAGATCAGGCTAAGGAAGATGACGATGGCCCCAGCGTAGATGAACAGGTCGTGGATCACCAGGCCTCCGAACACCCCCACCATCATGATGAACACGCCGAGTATGTCGTGGGCCACGGCGAACCAGAAGGAGCACTTGCAGCGACCGACTCCTTCGTAGCTATTCTCAGTGACGGGCTCGACCTGGACAGATGTTGACATGGTGGCAGTGGAGGTCCTCCAAACCAAAATCCAGATGTGGGAGCAGGTCTGAAGCAGCAGGTGCAGGACAGTGAGGTGTGCGTGATTGTACTTGACAGAAACACATGAAACAACCTCCTGTGACTCTGGTCAAAGTACAATGTACACAAGCGGTTATCAGCACCAGCTCTGCGACTTCATTGAACGTTTCTAGGTTGCGTCATCGGCGACAATAACAGTGTTACAACTTTCACATCAAGGGGTCATTCCCATCTTCTGAACGGTTCATCCTGGGGGCTTGAACCATTACCGCCACTGCTTCTTCTTCAGTATAGGGACCCACACCAGGCTCATCATGACAAACATCAGCCCGATGGTCACGCAGGCTGAGGCCACAGAGCGGGAGGCCTCAGTCACCCCCGACAATTGCAGCAGACATCACAGATTCCAACACCACACAATGAGTTTGTGGATGTATAGCACCACATATAGGCTTTGGAAATTAAGTCTTTCCAGTTTCATCCAATGTTGCCTCGTTCCCCTTTTGTCTAAGAATCTTTAACACATGAACAATAGAAATATCTGCCACTTAACATCCACAGCTCCCTCAAATTTCTTCAATACTTCATGAGCTCAGTCCCATCTTCGTGTGCGGTTCAAGCCCCCAGGCTGAACCCTTTCCGCCTCTGCTTCTCCTTCAATACGGGGATCCACACCAGGCCCATCACTACGAACATCAGCCCGATGGTCACGCAGGCTGAGGCCACGGAGCGGGAGGCTTCAGTCACCCCCGTCGACTGGAGCAGGAAGAGGAGTCCACCTGCAGCAGACATCAGAGATCCCATCACCATCACTATGATGGGCTTGTGGAGGTAGGACCACCCCAAGGCCTGAGCGGAGTGAGGGTCCGGACAGAGGCTTTGACCCATATCTGGATATGAACTTTCTCCAGTTAATTCCATGGTTGTTTTCTAAAGTCCCTGGTCTTTAACACATGAATAATAAAAATACCAGCCACTCAACGTTCATAAATGTCTTCTTTACTTCCGTCTTGAGCCGTCGTGTTTGCTCAGTCCTGATCAGGAGCTCGATCATCTGTACGATCAACAACGTGCCTGCATGATGCGTCTTCTGTTCTCCTGTGAACACCTTGTAATCCCAGATGGTTCACCACACCCACACAGCAGAGGATGAATAGACAGACCCAGCCCACCTGTTGACAACAATGTCATCACCCCTGATCAGCCCGCCACCACTCACCTAGCTACATTATAACTCATACTCAGTGTACAAATGTAGGAAAACTGTTAGTAATTCTGCAGTTTTTCAGCACAGAGAGCATTTAGGTTTGTCATTTTCAGGATGTGCTTGTTAGTTAATAGAATTATTGGATCAAGTAGCAGGCAGCAGCTGCAGAGTCCCATCAACAATAGACATGTCACCTGATACAGCAGCAGATATACATGCACAGCTCTACCGTGAGCAAACACTTCTCCGGGCTCATGCATGATACCACGCACAAAAGATGAACAAACAGTTACATGTTGTACAACAGACATACAGCAGAAAGATCCATATGAACAGTGATCTCATGATAAAAATACAACCACAATTATGTAATTGTTCTAATGAATTAATTAACCACTTTATCCAGAAATAATATTAAATTGTAAAAAAAGAAGCTCATTTCAATACACTGTAATTTCTGTGTCTAGTATAAATATTGAATTCTTAATCATATTAGGGCTACAACTAATGATTATTTAAGATATCAACTAATCACAGTATTTTTTTATCACTGAATTCATTGTTTGGGTTATGAAACTTTTAAAATATTTTTTTAAATGCTCATTAGTGTCCAAGATAAGGTGACATCTTAAAATGTTTTGTTTCAACCATCAGCTCAAAAACCTCCGGTCTGCATTTAAATAGAGACAGAAAATATTACATTCAGGAAGAAATACCTGCAGCGATCACTAGTTTGTGAAAATAGTCATTTTTAGACAATGGACCAGCAGCTGCAGCTCTAAATGATTAGAAAAAGCAAAAGGATGGACACAAAATCCTAAAATTTGACGGTCGAGCGGGTCTTCCCGGTGCGATCCAAACCCCAGCTTGAATATTTTAATGTGCAATGTTGTTGTCTAACCTACTGCTGAAGTATTTTCTTTCTACTTTTGCAAAAGCTTTAAATCCCAATGTTTACAACTTCTTTACACTTTAACCCAGGGAATGTGTTATCAAGCAGTTGGTGACTGTTGTATGTCGACATCACAAAATAATAAACTCCTATCTGACCCTATAATGCAATTAAGACATAAAATACTCCATGTCTTGATTCCATTATTCTGAGCATGACCTTGTTCAGGTCAAGGTGATCAGACAATGCAGTTTACATGACAAGTGTCTCATTGAGACTTTTGAATTGATCTGGTTGATTTCGGGGTATTGTCGTTGTCTGCAGCACTTCTCAATCGGTGCTGCCACGCAAAAGCCAAAATGAATTTGGTTGCCCTTGCTTTACTTGCAGTAGATGTTGTGAAAAGTTCATCTTCACAAGCAATTCAAGTGTCACTGATTGAGCAAAAAGAGGAAGGGTGGAGCTGAAAGAGCTAAAGAGTGAAATCACTCCAAGCTGATGCTGCAACTGATTGGCTCAGTTATCTCCGTCTGCACCACGCCATGATCCACTGTTACAAAAACACAACACAGCCAAAGATCGTTTAAGATACCAAACTTTATAATCTGCTTCATTCGAGCACAAAGAGAAAAAGACTACATATAGACCATTCTCTGAACCATCGACTCCTGTGTAACTGTGTCAAACGTCCGTGTTGTGAGGGTAATGTACAAAAACATGCTCTGCTGCGACTCATTTCACTTTAAGCCCTTTTCTTTTCACTTTGCCGCTCGTCTTCTTGGGTTTGCCTTGTGCTTTTCTTCCTTTCTTCACAGCAGCAGGTTTGGGAGCTTTCCCCAGCTGCTGCTTTTTCAGCGGCTTCTACGGCAGAAGAAAAGAGCAGGTTGTTCATCAGTTATAACATTCAAAAGTTCATGTTTTTTAACTCCAGCGCCTGAACAATACTGACCTCCAGTTTAGGCTTCTTTGTTGGTGTTTCTATGGGAACCAGCTGTGGGATTTCCTCCTCCTCCTTCCCCTCTGTGGTCGCATCTGTTTGCTTTGTGTCGCCTTGCTGTTTTTTCTTTGCATGCCTTTTAGCCTTTCCTCTCTGACATTCACAAACACACGCTGGTTAATTTTTCTCTCGTTTCAGCTCTGGCACAAGACGGAGATTTGAGGATAAACTCGTTCTCACCTTTTTCTTCGGAGTCTCAGCATCTTTCTCTGCCTGCTGCAGCACGCTGATGTGTTTGAGGTCTGAGGTAAAGATGGGCAGCGCCACTGACGATTGACTTTTTAAGTGGATGATCTTCATCACCGGTCCTTTCTGCAAAAGCAATAAGAGAATAAGTCATTAACCAACACTTTGTTTTGAGCTGCCATTTTGAAAGAGTTTTGCAGTTTGTCCAGCGCCATCTTTGTTTTTTGAAACCAGAACTACCATATTTGGGAGAGCCAGAGGGTGGAGCCTGACTGAGAGCTCAAGTACCCTGCACCTCAACCTACACCCACTGGACGGCACTAGCTCATCTATTGGACTCTAAACAGGACTATAATTTACAAATTGAACATCATGCAGTTGTGAATAAGACTTGAAACTCCTGATTGAGATCATATAGTCCAACAGCAGGAGGTGGGTCAGTTTCTCAACATATAGAAACCCTCTGCTGGTCATTCGAGAGAATACAGATTGGTTTCACTTTCCCACAGGTAAAGACAGCAGGAGTCTTTCCCACAGCCAAACTGGTCAGATATCACTTCCATGTTGGGTTTTTTTTTTTTTTTTTTTAAAGAATCAGTATTGACAGGATAGAATTGTATTGTTGAGAAAGTACTATAACACATGGAGAGATAAACAATCAAGACGTACCTCAACATATTGAAGTGTGGAATATTAACATATTTAAAGACTATTTAAAGATTTAAAGATGACTAATTTTGAGTCCTTTACTGAAGCTGAATAATATACATCCAACTGCCTTGACCGACCCGATGAAAACAAAGGACAGCTCTCTGGGTGAACAGACTCACCATCCGGATTTTGGCCATTATTGTTTGGACGGCAGTCTCGATGTTTTCTGTCACCTCATCTGCAGTCATGCTGGAGTGACCAACACGAGCCATACTGGAACACAGGACAGCAGCATGGTTAAACTGGGACATTTGAAAAGTGAATATGTAAACAGCACTTGCAAATAAGATGCAGTTATTTTCCTATCTGACGTGAGCTCGAGATGAAATATTGTGTATCAAAGTTGTAGAGATGGGCTCCACAGGAAGAGGAAGACCATCTGGATTTACGTTGAGTCTCTGTGGCACCAGCATGACCCGTATCAAACACTGAACAGAATCGACAGGGTTGCTGTGAGGTGCTGCGGATTCTCCTGCAGGACGACACACTGACACATCCTTCAGAACAGAAACTCTGGTTTGCTTCCTTGTAGAAGCGACACTGAGGTTAAGCGATCACATAAAGCTGATCGCACACTGAGCTGAAAAAGCAGGAGAGCACGACTCACCAGCAGCTGCCTTTGTTGGTCACCTTCAGATAGGTGCCCTGGATGACGCTCTGGATGTCTCTGGCCAGATGTTTGCTTTGCAGGTTCACACACAGTGGCTCTCTGGTAGACACGTGAACAGAGGAAGAATTTAGGACCTGAAGCTACAGAACAAGCTCATCCAGACAAAACATTAAATGTGCATGAAATACCTCAGTTTAGTACAAAATGTAATAGTACAACAAGGACCAGAATAATGTGGCTTGAACCAGGACAGTATGTTTGTTTACTTCACAACTGGTCAACAACTACGCTGCCAAAACAAAACAACTTCCGTGGGTGACCCTTCACAATAAAAGTCCTAAACAGATCCACTGCTTTTGATGACAGGAAACACAAATTCACTGACCAACCTTTCACAATAAGGCAACAAAATGAAATAGCTTACATAAATTACTTTTAAACGGCCAAACGTTACACTACAAAACTGGATATAGTTGATGATAATAAATATTTTAGTTAATCAGCTATTGATTAGCAACATATCGCTTGTTGGAGCTCTTACTTTTTCCTCTGGTAGAAATGTTTTCCGAGGTGAGACGGCAGCAGGCGGCGGATGCGATCGTCAGACAGAAACATGTCGAAGTTTCCTAACAGACGGCGCTTAGCTTCGAATGGTTTGTACTCTGTCTTCAGGACCTTGTAGGGGATGATCTGCCAAAGATACAGAGACACACATGATAAATATGAACAGGAGGTTTTAATGTAGACCAATGCTCTGCATGCAAAAATTATGAACTGCTTTTAGATCTGGTATTAACATCCATCCAGAGTGATTCCATCAGAAGCGGTCAGCTCTCATGTGTGAACAAACCAACTATGTCTGAGATCTGGTCACTCAAACCACAGTGGTCTGGGATGCAAGTGGCCACAGCCTTTTTGCTGGGTGAACATTAATGCATCCTGGGCCACATATGAAAGCAGGACCGCCTACTCAGCTGACATACTCCCCGCAACAGTTTCACAATCAATCAAATGTATTTTCACGCCTCTCAGTGGACATACGTTGATCTGTTTGAGGCCATCACCACAATATTAACACTGACCACCTCATTCAATTTCTATTTTTTTTTTCAAATAGGTGATATAGTAGATCTGCACCTCCTTGATTCATTCAGCCCCTCCTGACTGTGCTTGTGCCAACACACACAGTCACTGGGACAGGTGTGTAGAAAACAACATCATTTGATACTTACGAATACAGATGACGCACGTGATTATTTGCATAGAGAGCAGGGAAGTGAGATCCTGTCATAAGTGGTCTCAGGAGACATATTCAGGACACTCTGATCACTCAGGACAGATGTTAACACCAGGTATGGACAGTGTGGTCAGCAGCTGTCCACTGCTCCATAAGGACTCTGACGGGTGAATACCTCAGTTATGTTTTTAACGCCTCTCTCCTCCAACAGCCGCTTATAAAACCTCTGTGTCTGCTCTGAGGTCATGTTGGGCTCATCTCTGGTGAAGAGGCAGACCTCCTCCGAGTCAGTGCGTTGACCATGGGGCAAAGGACTGAGGGCGAAAAGAGAGGAAACGTCAGCACCCGTGATAACAACAAGTACACAGGGAAGCACGGGTCAGGCCCCGGGGTCCTGGGATCCGGGACTCACATGCGGATGGTCTGCGCCACTTTGGGGATCGTCCAGAGGGTGAAGAGCAGGCTGATGTGCTGGGTGTCGTCCAGCAGCAGAGAGTCTTTGGTGGACTTTGTTTGGAGGAATGCCTGCAGAGCCTGAACGGCCTTTTTCACCTGTGCACAGACACATGACCTCCGGAGTTAGAAAGAGAAACACACGATACAAAGCTCAGCAACAAAACTCCAGCCTCCTGCTCCTCGTTCTGGGAATTAGCTTTGAGGCTAAAGCAGTCACGAAACAAGTCGGCTAATGCTAACTAGCGAATGGCTGCGGTCGACTCGTGACTAAATAATTCATCGCAATTATCTGAAACTTGATTTATCGTCATGTTTTGTATCATGAGTTTGAAAAAAGTGCGTAAAAAGAGTTTTTACCTGAGTCCGGTCTAACGCTACTTCGGGTTTGTCAGCCATGCTGCCTGCTTCACGTGTGAGTCCCTGTCGCGCATGCGCAATGCCGACGCGCAACGTCACACAATTCAAAACAAACTTTATTTGTAGTGAACATTCTTACAGAGCCCCCTCTGATGATAAATGGTATTTAAATATTAAGACTATTAAATGCAATAACAAACATTTATAATATTCATACAGAAAGTTGATTATTCTACATTTTAAGAAGAAAACTAATAAATATAATTATTATAAATAATGTAGAATCCAGAATTTTGACAGGTTTAGTTTATAACTATCCTCTCACTCCATTTTTGGACTCAGATGGAAGATCATATTTCAGGTAAATGTATTCTTGATGAGAAGAGTGAAGAAATGTCATCACATATTTTGGACACAGTGACAGTGGAGTTGACTTTAATCCAGAAAGACAGATTCCACAGTGCATGATAAAACAATGACCCCATTCTTACTTAATAAGTGACAAAACTATTCAATTATACAATGACCACCTCAGCGAAAATGTATACACCCCCCCCATTGATAATCCTGTAAATAAAATTATTATTCATTTATTATTTTTTATATATTTGTGTTTGCTTTAACTTTTTCTGGTTGTGTTTTAGACAAAGGACACATCCGCCTTGTTTGTACATTGCACAACTAATAAAGTTTAAAGAGAATTGTAGCAAACATCCTTGGAAAATGTTGTCCACTGTTGAAAACTTTTAGTTAAATATAAAATGATGGGTCACTGCTCTTAAATTGAATATCGGTGGTTGACAAATTCAACATCAATGTAAAGAATTCAGAAAAATGTTGACATTTTTTTATGATTATTACTATTCCCAATAAAATGTCGGGATAAAAACAAACAAATACACCTTTCCATTGCAGGTTGATCTTTATTTTCGGTTCATGTTATGTAACAGCTGCGTGTGTCTGTTTGTATGAGTGTGTTTATCCTCGGTTCATCAGAGTTGGGTGTGTGAGCTCAATCCAATTAAACCATCACATGTGGAGAGAGACCAAACTAAAACATTTTGGAAGAGCAATCCTTAAAACCAAATAAAACCTCCATCAGATTCTTAATCCCACTCTTTTAAAAAGGGAGATGCACTTTGCAAATTAGAATTATAGGCTAATTCTGCTCTTTTCCACAATATGAAATAATTCTGTAGTTTAGGACTGTTCTTCTTCCCCAAACCCATTAACACTGCATCCATCTCCATTCTAAAAACAAATGGTGTGGCCAGCCGACAGCACGGTTAGCCATGGGAGTACAGAAGGGGGACGTGTAGCTACATTAGTGGCATAGCTGAGCTCTCAATATGAGAAAGCTGACACACTGGACTTGGTCTCTCGTTTCATATTGTTCATCATCATAAAAACTGATTCAGTCCTGTTTTCTTCATTAGACAAATTTTTTTATTCTCCTTCTTCACTCCTTGTCCTCTTCAGCATAGTTGTGTATAAAGAGAGAGTGGCTGTTTAGGTTGGCTCTAGCAGCGTTTCTCCTCTGGTAACGAGTGGAAGAACTCCATGCAGGCTGCCGTCGATGCATTTAGTCCTTTTCTGGCACCAGTTTCAGCACTTTGCCGATGGCGATAGTTTTGCCTGGAGAAATATATGAATGAACAGAGGGATGACACTGAGATACAAGACTTATTGAGCATTTTTTCCCCCCAGAACTTGAAGTGTCTCTGTTGTAACATGCATGTCCTTATATAAACCAGCTGTAAAAATATTTTAAGGGTCTTTCAAAACTACAGACAGAAACTCTCAAGGTGTCTTAAGCTGCTATCAGACATGAACTAAAAATGTCCTGAAATTTGGGTCCAGACATTTTTCCAGAGTTTGCCTTTCACATATGAAGGACAGAGCAGGAGCTTGTCTGGGTCAGACATGTTCACAAGAGGATAATGTCAGGAACATTCAGGTGAGGGGTGGCGCCTGGATAGAGCATGGAGGATCAGGACATGACGTAAAGCGTCAAGATTTGGCATCTTTATGTCATTCGACATGTAAGGCTCCTCTGTTTCACCCTGAGATATTTGAATTGGTTTTTTTCAGATTTGCGTCTGTTCTCACATTGGCTCACACAAACATCGGCCAGATATTTTACAAGTGGCAGGAAGTAACTGACTGTGGGCTCTCACACTCCTCCGGAAAATTTCAGAAAAATCTCTGGACTTCAGTTCAGGCCTGAAAGCAGCTTTTTATACACACCCACAGTGTCCTTACCTTCATCTCTCAGCGTGAATCGTCCCATTTGAGGGAAGTCTTTGAAGGTTTCTAAGCAGATGACCCCTGCTGCCCGGAGCCTGGCGATACAAACCTGGTCCTGCTTTACGAAGCGTGGTCGTGTTTTGCTTTTCTCTCCAGTTTTCTTATCCACCAGGCAGATTAAGGCCTGTGGTCGAGATTTAAAGAGTTGAAACCAAAGTCCATTCAGGTCAAAGATGCATGGCGAGACTACAAATTACAAATGAATGCTGCAGCAACAGTTTAGAAAAGAGATCAGTGACTTACTGTGATTTGCACTTCTTCAATGCAGGTGTGGATGTGAAGTACTGCATTGTAACCAGGACAAATGATTGATTTGTGTTCAATGATGACAATCTGAAATAAAAAGGAGCTAATCAGCAACATACAAAAATACACAATCAGTAAAAAATGATCCAACAGTGATTTAACAGAACATATTAGAAAAAAATGCAATAATTACGTAAATAAATAAATAAAAATTCCAAAGTTAAGTCTAAAACCAAAACCCTCAAAGTACCAGTAAAATGTGTCCTTTGATAAACTGATTAGTAAGTGCCAGAGGCCACACAGGTCAGAGAATTAGAGACAAAATATTTCAGAGCCTTATTCTTAACATGTTCCGAACATACACTGTAAATGAAGATGGAGGATAGGTCTTCACTTTTGACGTCAAATGGAGCCAGAGTCTGTGCAGTAGTGATTGAGGATTGGATCCGTGATATTAATATGTGTCACAGATTGCAAGTCTGAGTTTTAGTATCAAATAACTAATTAAAACCAAACACACCAGAAAAAAGAACTGTTGAACAAACATCAGTGCGATAATAACGACCTAAAATGATAGTAACCATCTTTGTGAAAAAATCTATTTAAGGTATTCTTTGACTTTTTAGTTTGGTCACGGCTGGGTTTATGACCTTTAATGCAGCCAGCCACCAGAGGGCAGTCAAGGTGATTTGGCTTCAAGTTTAGGGAGCCGTCATGTCTTCCTTTATATTCAGTCTGTGGTTCCGACTAGCTTCTTTGCTCTGAGCACTAGACAATAAACCAAATCACATAAATGCTCCACATCAAACAGGCTGCTGAATAATTTCCTGCTGCAGAGGCTGTTTATAAGCATCTGTCTTCACAACCATTCCGCCCACAATGACCCCCCCCCCCCACCCAAACTGTTAGTATCTGTTGCTATGCCAACATGCAGTGAGGTGGATTAGATTAAATACAGGAGAATTTAGTTCATCTGTTGGCATCATATTGGATAAATGAGAACTAATCGGCCTGTGTCTCTGCCTGCAGCCTCGTCCTTTGATTTGAATCCTAACTGACGACTAATGACCGTGAAAACCAGATGTACAATGAGAGCTGCAGCGTGTGGAGACTTTGGTCGTCTGGTTTTTACCTGTGCATCGAAGGTGCGACCAGAGTGGCAGAGGTTGTCGGGACTACAGAGAATAAACCCAGGCAGGATTTCTTCCTCCTCGATGCCTTTCAGCCTCAACTTCAGATTCTCCCCTGGAGTTGCATCGTCCGTCTCCACATCATCGCTTAGCAGGCTCAGTACCTCCACTGTATGCTGCACACACACACACAGGTGTTAGTTTGCAGTGTACGTGGCTGGTGTTAGAAATGGAACAGAATTCTTTAGGTGGATAAACAGTATGTTCTCTAAGCTGTATCCCCTTCAATGGATGAATGAGGTTAATCATGTAAGTGATCTCTTTATTTGTCCCATATGAAGACGGAGTAAAGTCACACAGAGGATATCTCACCCTGTTTGGCATCATGACCAGCTGCTGGGCTTTACTGATGGTTCCAGACTCCAG